GGGGGCCCCGCGGGGGGGGCGGGCCGCTTCAGGGCGAGATCTTGTGCCAAATGTTAACCGGGAGTGAGGGGCAAAAAAAAAAAAGGAAGAAAAAGCAGCCCGACTTGCCTTTTAGCTTAACCCGGGGCTCGAACTGGCCGCGCAAAGCCTGCCTCAGCGGTGGTTTCCCCGAAAATGGCTCAAATAATTCCGTAGGGACCCGCACAACCCGCGCTCCCGGGCGAGGCGCCTTCGAGCTTTGCGGGCTTCAGCCCCGCCGGCTGCTGTCTCAAGTGTTGCATCTCCAAAGTCCGAAGAGCCGCAGTTACTGATTGTTTTCCCGCTTAACTACGGAGAGATTTAAAATAATAAAAACAGCAGCGGGAGGGCCGAGATCAGTAAAGCCCGTTAATCCTCTCCAGCGGCTGTGCTGGGGCCGGCCAGCCCGGGCTGCCCGCCCCCGGCCGGATCCCGCTGCCTCCCCGCCCGCGCTCCGGTGGGAAGGGGCGAGCTCGGGCTGAGGCTCTCCGGAGAGCGTTTGGGGTGCTCTTAACAGAGCTGCTTTCTCCCTCCCTTGGAGACAGGTTTCTCCGAAAGGACTGGTGTAGAGCAACGCCGTGGTTTGATTTATTTAAATTGCAAAGTAAAAGACGTTGTTGCTAAGTAAACCCGGGGCAGGTCGAGGTTGAGGACCCTTAGAAATCTTAAATAAGAGGAGAGGAGCCAGGCCGGTGAAGAGTGGTAGATAGAGGCTGAGTGTGAATTCGGAGCTCGTAATTAATTACATGCTTAATCCGGTTCCCAGGGGCCTAATGAAGAGGGTGTGAGTCTGAGAAGCCGGCCCGTTTTGTTTATTTTTTTTCCTTAATCCAATAAAAAGGACAGGACATGCATTTTTTTGGAGGGTCACTCCCTTCATTTATGTCTCCTGTGCATGAGCGGGGAGCTGTGAAGGCAGGAGGTGGAGGGTGTGTGGATGTCTTGACTCCTGCCCTTGGCTGAGGTTTTTCCGTGGAGCCGGAGAGGTTCTTGCTATGAAGCACTGCGAGTAACTTCGGTCCTGGGCGTTCTGAAAAGCCCAATTCCTTCGTAAAGCACCCCCTTTCTTTACTGCAACGGGAGACAAACATCATTTTGAAGCGTGCTCCGGGCAGCCCGGGAGTTTTGGGGCCACATCACTTTGAGCGGAACCTTATTTTTCCCCATTTTTTCCCCTCCAGCTGCTGTTGGGTGGGGGCTCTGCGGGGTGTGCGGTTTGGGCGCTGCTAACTGAAGTGTCTTTCCTTTTTCCCCCGCTCCGGCTGCTCCTGGGCGCAGGGCGGCTGAGCCCCCCAGCCTGCACCCTGCGCAAGCACAAGACGAACAGGAAGCCCCGGACACCCTTCACCACGGCCCAGCTGCTGGCCCTGGAGAGGAAGTTTCGGCAGAAGCAGTACCTGTCCATCGCCGAGCGCGCCGAGTTCTCCAGCTCGCTCAGCCTCACCGAGACCCAGGTGAAGATCTGGTTCCAGAACCGCCGCGCCAAGGCCAAGCGGCTCCAGGAGGCCGAGCTGGAGAAGCTGAAGATGGCAGCCAAGCCCATGCTCCCGCCCGCTGCTTTCGGCATCTCCTTCCCGCTGGGCGGCCCGGCCGTGGCCGGCGCTTCCCTGTATGGTGCCTCCAGCCCTTTCCAGCGGGCAGGGCTGCCCGTGGGTCCTGTGGGACTGTACACAGCACACGTGGGATATAGCATGTACCACCTCACATAGAGCTGAGCCCTGCCGAGTCCAGCCTGCCGGCCGGCCGCTCCCACTGGCTCAGCACGCACTCCCTCCCTGCTTCTCTGGCTCCTCGCTGTGGACTTCCCCACGGGCCCCGTGGCAGAGACTTCTCCAGTCCGGCTCTGCTCAGCTTCTCTGCTTCCCCCTGTGATGCTGGCCTGCCGGTCCAGCGCTGTTCTGCTCTCCTCCTCAGCAGTCCTGGAAGCTCCTCCGCTCTCCAGCTGGGAGAAACTTGAGGCATTGCCCCAGCTCTTCCGCAGCACAGGGCCGTAATGGGCCAGTGCTGCCCCACTTCCCCCGGGTCCGGCTGGCAGCCTGGTGAGAACCACTGCTGTGGGGGAAGGAAATGTGGAAGAGAAACGGCAAAAAGGGGGCCTGAAAGACAGGATGTTTCTCTTACTTTCTGGAAGGCGAGGTCAAGAGGCAGAAGCGTAGAGCAGCCTCTCCTGTCCCTGTGTAACAGCACTGTCTGTTACCTGTGTTTGTTCCTGCACCAGCTCCTTTGGAAGGGGCTCTGTGTACTATGTAATATACTGTATATTTGAAATTTTATTATCATTTATATTATAGCTATATTTGTTAAATAAATTAATTTTAAGCTACTGTTTGATGCAGTTTGTTTGCTCCTTGCCCTGCCAGGGGTTACAGAAGAAGGGACTAAATTTGTGTGTCTGGGTGACAGGAGAGAGGGACCGGCTGTACCAGCTGTTTTTCTTCCTCCCTAGGAGACTTCAGCCTTTTCCAGTGTAAAGCCTTGGCTGAGTTTTCACTTTACTGTGTATCCCGGTGCTGCTCTGTCCTCACGGCTGTCTGAGGTTTCTTCCTTTTCCCCCCACCGCCCTTCAGCGGCTGCTCCCACCGCATCCCTTGCCCGAGGGTGCGGGTACTACTGCTGCCCTCCCCAGCGGCTCCTGGACCGGCACAGTCCCAGCCCGGCTTTCCCAGCCCTAGGCGGGAGAAAAGCTGCTCCTCTCCCTGCCGGAGGCCTTTTGCTGGGAAGCTCCCGGAGGCTTTGGGGGTGGGGTGACTTGTCCCCCATCTCGGTGCCAAGCCTTGAGAGATCGAGGGCTTTCCCCTGCAGCTGCCTTCGGCAGCCCGCATTGCTCGCGGGGGG